ATTATAAATCACGTTGAAAAGAATTTAAGAGTATGTTTATATGAAAATAGTTTTACATAGTCATATCTAGATTTGTATAATTGTTGAAATTTCATTTAATGTCGAGTATTCCTTTTTAATGTTTATAACTATGATATAAATTTGTTGATTTTAACGCATTTGAACATGTTATATATATCAGAAAGGCACTTAAAACATTTGGTGTAATGATAGATTTTGCTTTTGTTTTCGACCATTTTTTTACCAGTTATAAGAAAAATATGTGTTTGTAAAACTTTGGGAGCGATTTTTGTTCCACTCACACAAAAAAGTGTGTAAATTGTCGTCACGTAGTAATAAGCTATAACTGATATACAGGTAAGCATTCAAATAAAATCTCAAAGACATTGGTAATCATATCAACTGTTACAGTTTTGTTATTTTCTCATCATCAATAATTATCAACAAATCATGTGGAATAACCCGCGGCTGAACGTATCCAAAATTCATATAAGCTCTCTGTTTTAAATAAGTCATTATAAAAGTGCAGTCTTGAAACCATAGTTTCAATGTAATTGGAGATGAGGAAAAACAGCATTTCTCAAATTGTCTGGTAGCATGTAGCACATGAACACTAGTGTGTTCCAAATTAAGATTAAGTTGAGGACGTATTTGAATTTGGAATCAGGAGGAACATATGACTTTGATTTCTTTATTTTACAAACAATTTTACTGTTTTCTTTATTTGAATAAGCCAAATTTCACTTTCTTATAGACTTTGTAATTCTGATTTGCCTTGAAAGATGACCAGAAGGTTTCAATATTATGAAATAATGCACGGAGGGAAACATATTAAGGTCTTCCTCAGTAAAGCAGGAAAGTCGCCACAAAGCCTTTTAAAGTGTTGATGTGACGTAAAAATAGGCTATATTTGAAAAAAATTTACAGAAATTTTGTTTTGTTGTTGTTTTTTGCACAAATCGGATTACTGTATATCTTAGTCACAGAAGTTAAAAATAGAACTGACAATGCGTAATGTTTTCAAATATTCCCAGAAATAAATAAAAAGATCTTGAGCTTTTATATGTATGGCTTTTTCAGATGGGACTAAAACAACATTGTTAATCGCATTCCGCGTAGCGGAAAGGGGATTATAGGAATGGACTCCGTATGTCAGTCCGTCCGTCCGTAACACCTTCGTGTCCGCTCCATAACTTTTTAAACCCTGAAATTTTTTTTGAAATAACTTGGCACAATTGATCACCATAATGAGACAATATGCAGAGCGCAATAATTGGGTTGCTACTCCCAAGGTCAAGGTCACACTTTAAGGTCAAATGTTAAAAGTATTCATTTAATAATAAAAAGTCTACATTTCGTGTCCGCTCCATAACTTTTTTAACACTGTAAAGATTTGAAATAACTTGGCACAACGGATCACCATTATGATACGACGTGCAGTACGCAATAATTGGGTTGCTACACAAAAGGTCAAGGTCACACTTAAATGTCAAATGTTAAAAAGTCTACATTTCGTGTCCGCTCCAACATTTTAACCGCTGAAATTAAAAAAAAATGTCTTGGCACAATTGATTACCAGTATAAGAACATGTGCAGAACGCAAACTTTGGGTTGCTACACCAAAGGTCAAGGTCAAATGTATAAAAATCTGCATTTCGTGTCCCCTCCATAACTTTTAAACCTATGAAATTTTGTTTAAATAGCTTGGCACAATTGATCACCATTATGAGACGATGTGCAGATCGCAATAATTGAATTGCTACCCCAAAGGTCAGGGTCACACTTACAGTTCATATGTTAGAAAGTCTACATTTCGCGTCTGTCTCTAACTTTTAAACCTCTGAAATGTTTTTAAGATAAATTGGCAGAAATGATCAACATTATGACACCATTGGCAGAGCACAATAAGCAAGTCACAACCCTGAAGGTCAGGGTCACACTCAACGGTCCAATGTAAAAACTTTTTTTTCATGTCCGCTCTATAACTTATTGACAATTCAAAGGTTTTAAAATACTTAGCACAAATGATCCCAACCACGACACAATCTACAGACCTCAAAATCCAGGTCGCTGCAACCAAGGTCAAGGTTATATGTTCTCCATAACTTTTTGACTTTATGGAAGGTTTGAAATAACCTGGCACAAATAATCGCCATCGTGAGACTATGTGCTGGTTGGTAAAAGGTCAAGAAGTACACATTCATTTTTCTTGCGAAGCCCCGGAGTAAACTTTCTTTACATAGTGTAAATATAGGAAAATCATGAAAATATTCTTCTCCATAACTGCAGGACCTAGTAAAGAATACTATTAAATTTGCTTAAATCACGACCTTGTGGTCAAATTCATTTATGCCAGGGGTCACTTCAATTTACATATAGGATAAGCTAAAAAATAATTTCTCCCAAACCGATGCCTATAGCTAATTATTTCTGTTGTAGCCTTGTATAGATCAGTACAAAATTTATTCAAATGAAAATTTAACCCACCCTAGGGTCAACTTATTTCATATGGAGACACATAGGAAAACTTTTTAAAAATCATATTTCTTTCCAAAACCAAATGCCAAGATCTTAGATTTTGGGTTAAAAGCATTGTCAAAAAATCCTTAATTTATTTTTCAAATCTTGACAATCTGGTCAAAGTTGACCTAACCCCAGGAGTCATTTTACTTTGTGTTATAAAAATAGCCTTTGAAAACTTTCTTCTCCATAAATAAAATGCTTTGATATTTAAGTGTGACGCATTCATTCTATGACCATATCAATTTATGTCACGATAATAATACATAACTTCTAAGCTTGGTAAAGTCATGATCCGTTTGATTATAATTACCTTTCCCAAGGATCAATTGATTTACATAGTCTAACTTATATATAAAATCCTTTATAAAATCATCCCTTTAACCCCATTGTTTAGAGCATATGAAACAATTTCTATGTTTCTTCAAATCATGAAAGGGCGGGTCTGGGTTAAACGCCAATTTCAACACTTCTTTGTTGATAGCTTGAAAGTTGGTTTAACTATCTGACTTTCATGGATAAATAACCAGAAGAGTAATGACCAATTTCTACTAAGCTACGGTACTAACTTTTTTGACAGACAAATGACCGTAAAACTCAATGTCCGAGATCAATTGTTGTCTGTAGATCAAGAGACGCCTGGATTTCACATCCGACACTCTCCGTAAAGTGCTAAGTTTGCAGGCATCAAATAATGATCATGAGTCTGGATTAAAACAATAGCCGGTTGAACCGGGTGATGCTCCCCGACTAGGTTTTGGACACACGCCCGGCGACTATATGCTCCCCCATAATTTTTCGGGGAGCATAAAAATGGCCCTGCCTAGATGTCGATTTTTATATAAAAAACTCTTTAAGTCAGAAAGCACAATGCAAGACCATTTGGTTGGAAGAATTGTCTTTGATTGTTCAAATCATGGCCCCACTGGTATAAGGTGACCTAGAATTTAAGACCTTGTGACCTACTTTCTTGTTTTTGAAGCTAAAAAAATTTGGATAACATATACAATATATCATGCTAGCTGACCTTAATCTGTACTAGTGATCTCTTTGTATTTTGATTGTAAAATTTCAGATGCAGAATTATACACTGAGATCAGTTGACCTTGAATTTTATCTAATGCCAGTTAGAAGTTCATAATACAAGCTACAACCAAAAAATTTGAACTCAACAATAAATTCGATTGTCATTAAAACTTGATATTGGTTGACCTAGAATTTGAACAAGTGACCTATTTATTTTTCGTTTAAGCTGCAAAGTCTTAAATGTTTACCCTATGTACAGTTTTAAACATTTGATAATGTTTATATACATTATTACCTAAGACTGCCTTTTACTTATTATTATCACCATTAATTATCCTTTCCAAACATAACAACATTCACATTTGACATGACCTTTATCTATGTATAGCAGTTTGAAAAAAGCAAATGCATGATGCAAATTCTTGAAATAAATTTATTCATCTAATTTCAAAATATTGCCTGTTATCTGTGTTGATAATTTGCTAGAATTAAATGTGACTTCTTTTAATGTTACTTTTTTTCAATTTGTTACCATGGCATAATGCACAGATTATTTATCTATAAGTTTGTGTCATTCTTAACAACATGCTTAAAATGCTAAAAGTTGAAAATGTCATACGTTTCAGGTGTGTCTTTCATTTTACTTCCCCGTTGCCATGGCAACAGAACATGTTTAATATTGATAAACAAAATATCAGTCTAAGTTTCTTAATTATTTATAACTTTAGGTACATGCCAAAGTGCAATACATGTTGACTATTCATTGTTTAAATTATCATAACAAACCAGTTAACAAAATACTGAGACTTAGTTTTCGTTACCCCACCCACTTTAAGAATATCAGAATCCACATTCTTTTACAATAAAAATAAAAAATAAGGGTGATATTAGTATGATCTTGTTCAAGTCTTTGTAGTATATGGTAAAAAAATTCATTTACACCGCTATGCCTTAGCTGGTAGGAAAAAATGTCAGCCCCATATCAATTTTTTATAATTTTTTCATGCATTTTTTAGCAAATTTATCTATGAAATTCAGAGAATATGAAAAAATAATGGAAATGTCTCCATTTTCATATTGTTCCAATAGGATGTGAAGTTTTAACATCACCTGTACCAAAATAAATACAAAAAAGAACTAATTTTATCATATAAATTGCGTATTAGCCATTTTTCAATAATTTGGCGGCCATCTTGGCGGCCATCTTGGATTTCTCACAACGTACCATGATTTGACATGTCTACCCAAAATTTTTGTAAACTTCAAACATTTAGCTTTACATTAATATAACATTGATCTATGGACCTTTTTTACACACAAAAGGTCCTCAGGGACTGTACTAATACGCAGCTTTGTTGTTGATTTTGTTGGTGTCAATACTGCATGATGAGGGATATAGTGGACAGGACCCAAAGGCTTCGACCACACATTAACTTGTTCAATTATCCCTTTTTTCAGTCTTGTATAACCTCATTATACTTGACCATCAGGTCAGGTTTCTTCTGCAGTTTGGTGACAACAGAAAGTAGTCGACCATATGCTAATTTTCTGTTTACAGGGAGATCTGGTACATCACATTTAAACAGCCATTTAAATTGATAGCGGCCTTCAGAAAATGAAATTGTATCTCCGAATATTGTCATAGCCTTTTCATCATATGACAGGTCTGGATTGTCCATGATTCCTATGGATTCCACTTTCCAGAAATCCTCCAAGTTTGGAGTAATATGTAACTCTTTATCAATACTGGTAAATGAATTACATTTGGTCATTTTTTCTCCATGTGTCAGAATTAACATGTTTATGTCTTGATTTTCTTGTTCATCTTTCTTTACACGTCCCGTTAATATCCAACCATATCTTGAACTTAATATATAAAGACCGGGCTGTATTTCGAGTTTCTGACACAGTACAATGTCTAGGTAATAATCATTACCTAATAACATTTCAATTTCGCACGTTTCATGCTGTTTTGTTATTGTATCAGCCATTTCAATGGTGTTGAGAATCTCACTGGCATTTTCAGAGAGATGCCTAACAGGTTTTCTATGAATTGCGCCACTGATAACAGGCACTATTTGTACAGAAACATCAACTTTTTCACCACTCTTTGTATTGATTTGCATTGATGATCTCTTTGTCTTGATATTTTTTGACTTGTCAGAACCAAAAGTCATAACATTAATGTTTTCACTAACTTCTGATTTCATGTCGAGCCGCTTTGCTAATGAATCAGATACATAAGATCTTTGTGAACCTGAATCGAGCAGAATTCTTATTTCTTCTTCTTTACCATTCTGCGGATTATATACCTTTGTTTTAACTGTTTGCATCAATATCATTTCCGAAAAAGAGGCTAATCCATTTTCTGTAGTAGGATTCTGTATGTCTTTACCAGTTCCACAAGCACCGACATCATTTGTTGTATCATCAGTCACTTCACCTGATAGATGTGAGCTTGTAGTTGAGTTATTAAACTTTGCTGGACACAGACTTCTATGGTGACTATTTCTTTCACCACAATGTGTGCACAGCTTACCTCTTTTACAATCACTGGATTTATGTCCAAGTTTTAGATAGATGTAACAGCTACCTTTTAACACTCTCTTTCTTTCTTCAATTGTTCTATACTTGGGACATTCGTCACTCCAATGTTGTTTTTCACAATATCTACAGAATGTAGAATAGTCTTTATTGGAGTTGTTGTTTGTACGTCTCCTCTGCATATCATTTGAAACGAGAGTTTCGCCTGAAGTTACTTGGCTTCTTTCAATTAGGGACATTCTCTTGGGACCAAACGTACTAGTAGGTCCTCTATGTCCAAAGATTGATATTGGTCCATGAGCTTGTTTCTTAAACTCAGTATTGGGGTTTCCTTGTGTACCAACGGTGGTCGGTTTATTTTTATTTTTGTCCATGCTATTCTTTTTCTCACTTCTTTCTCTTGCAACAATATATGCATTCAATTTTTGACGAAATGTATCTAATGTCCAAGAGTTGTCGTCAGTATTAGATAGTTCAATCTGTAGTAAGACAGGTTCCGGTAGTTTTTCCCAAATCATAGAGATAAAAACCTCTTGATTGATATCTTTGTGTAGTACCTCTAAACTACGAAGATGTTTCTCTACCGTATCAATGAAATATCGTAAACTTTGGACATTGTTAGATGCACTTTGTATATTGATCAACTTTCTTAGTGTAAATCAACCACTTCTTGTGTATTGCCGAACCGTTCACATAATAATTTGATAGCTACATGGTAATTAGCACCTGATACTTCTAAACCGGATATAGCATATCTTGCTTCTCCGTATAATCTACCACGTAAATAGTTGAGTTTCTGAACATCTGGTATGTTCTTATTAGTGTGCACAGATGTATTGAATGTGTCCCAAAATTCTCTCCATTTCAATTTGTCACCGTTAAATGGAATCATGTCCAGTTTAGGCAATTTCACAGTCATGGTTTTCTCTAACTCTTTCTTCTCTTGTCTATCAAAATACTCATGTTGCCTTGACATTTGTTCATTCTGTTGCTTGATTTGATTTACAACAAGATTCTGAAATTCATGTTGCATATCAATCATCTCTTTAAAATCGGGAGACGGTGCGTGCACGTTTGATTTGTTTTCAGACATAATTTTTTCCCTCAGACTTTCAAAGCAAAATTGCAAATCTGAGGCTTCAGAAAGAAATTAAATCTATATCTTCCTCTGCAATAGCTTGCAATTGTTCTGAGTTCTCTGGATCATTCTCGGATAAAACCTCAGCTAACTTCGCTGTTTGCATTTCAAGCTTTTCTATATAACTTTGTATTTTCTTAATGAATGTTTCAATGGAAAACAATGCATCATCCTTATCCATATCATGGATGCTATATTGAATGAAATGTTTATCTTTCTGAACATCTTCCGTGAGTATGTTCCTGTATCTAGTTCGCACGCCTTTTACATACGGAATTGAAGCCATCTTTGTTTTCCCGGGTTCCGGTGCCAATCAGTGTCGTGAATATCCGTTTTATCCCTTTTAGTTTAATTATTCAGACAATGAACAAACACACCTTTTTGATATTAATTTGCTTATTTTATTTTACTTCCAATTTTAACTTATTTCAAACAAATAATAGCATTTTATTTTACTCACAAGATATATCCAACACAAAATATTACGTAGGCCTATACAATTCACGTTTTATCAATTCATCTTTCTCCAAAGTTTCGTTTATTTATATAGCACAAATAGAACAATAGAACAATAGTATAATACAAAATTACGTGGAAATGCGTCGCCGTCGGGGAGGCAGGACAATCGGGATTAAGATATTTGAAATATCGTGAACAGTGGCACCGTCGGGAAACTTAACAGTAGAACTTTTGTTTACGTGAATACAATTTCAGTAGAAGCAAAGAATAACTCATGCAATGCACGATATATGATGCTGACGGTGAAACTATACAACTGAACTAAATTATAAGCACAAAAAATAAATAGAAATGTAAAAAATATCGCTAAATTCGCGACAATTTTTCCTTCCTTAAATAACACCGAAAGTCTGGTAAAATATCATTTATCATATTATCCGTTATTTGACATTACTTAATAACTGTCAATTTTCATTTGGCTCGGTGTTGACCGCTTAGTTTTAGATAAACGTGTAACACATTTCTGTATCTGTAATTGAATCGGTCCAGATATGGAATAATGAATATTTCTATGGCAAATATCAACTGTAATTATACACTCAATTGACTGTACTGAAAATAAAATTGCACACCCAGTCTCCAGATTTAATTGTTATTTCTAGAACAATCAATATACAAGATAGGCATTGATGCAAAGCATCAAAGGGCGTCCAAGCAAGAGATGCAGCAGGTGAAGATGAACTAGTAGACATATGATGACAAGATATTCTTATAATCTTTTCAATGGTTAATTGGTTTTTATCACTTATGAATGAACGGACGAAAGACATTGTTCATTATGAACTTTGATTGGCATGCTAGAGATTAAGAATATTAATTGTTATTTCTTTATGATCGTGATTATTAATAGCAACGGATATACATGTATACAATCATTTATAATCCATATGTGTAACGCATGATCAACACCACACTTGTGTAATTATTATGTTATCGCTATTAGAGAAGAACCCCTCTTAAGATATCTGTTCATATAACACTGGTTATATTACCATGTTGATCATGTTGAGCATAATTGTTTATTATACAATAATTGTAATATCTATTTTGATAAACATTTTTAAAGATTTTATGAATGTTGTTTTCTTTTCTTTTTTGTGTTTCATGTGCTATTTTAATACTACTGTTTTTTTTTTATTAAAATTGTAAAATCCGACGATTATAAGTCAAAACTTATCTGGAAAAAGTCAGTAAATTATGGTTAATCTTTCAATATATAATATTGCTTATTCTTAAACCATGTACATGTACATTTGTACTTTTCTTTATCATTTTTTAAATTATCAATCAATTGAATAATTCATAAAATCTAATTTGTAACTTTGAATAATTCCTCGGCATCTTTACTAAACACGAATAACAAATTAAATAAAATGTTTGAAAGTTGATAGTGTCATATTAAAACCATAAAATGTACATTTTTTCTCAATTATTGAACATATTTATTGTTTTTATCTCATATAGATAAAATGGACCATGTTATTGTTAATTGTTGTTGTTGGTTTTTTTTTTAATTGTATGTTTATGTATAATAATAATCAATAAATTTGAGAGTTGATTTGTGTTTATTAATTATTGTAACCAAACTAAGTGACAAACATTCATTTTGGAAAAAAAACTTATTTATCTGTAAAATATTTGTTCTGTTCTGTAACAATATCAAACATCTACTCCAAACCCGGTAGAGACCGGACAATAAACGTGTGATATCACTAGTAAATCCTGATCAAGTTGAAATTTAAATTTGCCCATGATATGTATACGTTCCCAAGCCCTCTCTTTTACATGATTAATATGAATATGCCATGAACCATCGTCTGAAAAGTGTAAGCCTAGGTGTCTGAAGATATTGTCTGGTTTTGCATTGACAGAGGTGGATGGAATAGTTTAGATATTTTACGTGTGATAAGCATGGTTTCAGATTTGGAAGGATTAAACTTGACTAGCCATTTGTCAGCCCATGAGGAAATCTTGTTAATATCAGATTGGAGAATATCAGCCGCAATAACAGGATAGTCAACGATCAAATACAGGCTGGTATCGTCGACAAAATGATTTACAGAGGACCTTAAGTCAACAGCAATGTCATTCATATAGACTAAGAAAAGAAGCGGACCCAGAATCGTGCCTTGAGGTACTCCTGCGTTGATTACAGACCAATCAGATTTGGCGCGAGAAAGGACAACAGATGGGCGTCTGTTTGACAGATAATCCGAAAACCAGTCGAGAAGGGGTCCTTGAATACCGGCTCTTTTTAACTTCACCAGGAGACCCTTTTGTCACACTTTATCGAAGGCCTTGCTGATGTCGAAAAAGACAATCCGTATCTCAAGACCTTCACCAAGGGCTTTACAGAAGGAGTTGTAAAGAACGGTAAATTGATTCACAGTTGAGTCGTCAGGTTTGAAACTAGATTGAAGGGGAGATATAGAGTCATTATCATGGAGAAAATTATAAATATACTTGAAAATAATTCGTTCAAAGATTTTTCCATGCAGCATAAGAGATATATAGGACGATAGTTTTTGGGTAACGATGGATCGCCTGCTTGATTTGTGTCGTTATCCATTCTGTACAGTCGATTTTACTATTATTGATTTTGTAGGTATATGCTGCTTTGAAAGATCGAGGATTTTGTTGCTTGCTAAAGTTGCATGTTCATTTATGTCATTGTTTGAATATTGTTCCCAGTCAGTTTGGCTGATGCTTTGTTTAAGGGAATGGTGGTTGCCTCGACCATATAATTAAACAAAACGTTTGAAAGATCCTGATTTAGGTTTAGAGAAGGAAAAAAGAGCAAAAATAGGACAGTGGTAGCGAAGATTTTGGTCTAGAACTGGTTCCCCAACACCGGAAGTTATTACTCGATGACTACAAGAGACAAGAAAAAGATCTAAAACAGAGGCTGAAGTCTCGGTAAAATGTGTAGGTTCGTTTATTAGTTGCTCAAGGTGAAATTGTTGACAAATTGAAAGAAGTTTGCGTGATAATGTAGGACTAGATGGATTTAAGTTAAAATCTCCAGTTACAATGATATCTGGTAAATTTGTTTCTTCTGCCAAGTTTAGAGAGTGTTCAATAAGAGTCGTGTAATGTGAATCTGCACTAGGTGGTCGATAAAAATACTTAGCAAGATACGTTTAGATTGATATAGAATACATGTAATCTCTACCCATACACATTCTACATTTCTAGGTTCGAGATCCATTCGCCGTTTGTAAAATAGTGAATTCTTAATGTATAGAGAAACTCCGCCATGACTGTCATCAACCCTGTCATCTTTCTGGAGCATGGAAACATGGTATAAATATGTCCGAATTGGAGACACTGGGGTTAAGACACGTTTCTGAAAAGGCAAGAACATGGAACATACTAAATTCAGTGGTAAGAATTTCTATTTTGCTTAGTAGACTTTGACAATTATATTGTAGAACAGATAAACAGGAACCTGACGACATGACATTAGACTTGCTAGGTCCCGAGACATAGATGACGTAGTGAACAATGATTCAGTTGAGGAATTTGTTGATGATGGACCAGGATTCGGATGAATATCTCCAGATAAAATAAGAACAAAATGCAGCCATTGAATACACACCATTTTAGCGAGAATAGCGATGAGTTGATGGGTAAACGCTACATTTTGAATGTAGCACTCATAGCATGGAAGGAGTTGTCTGTATGGGTATCTAATGTTGTCTTTAACTTGATTCCTTATCTGAAGAGACAGCGAGTATGTAAGAATCATGTTTGAAGCAATGTGAAGAAGAACAAGCATATTCAGTAAGAGGGAAAATTTCCATGTACAAGATTAAGAGTGCATGATAGTGGTGCATGAAATTTATTCACTATGTAATTGATGTTAGAAACAGCAAAACGCGCACCGTTACTATCATGCCTCCGAGTTTATCAATTATAGCATCCAAAGCATTCCATTTACAATATTCCGAATATATGTCCTTGGGGGGAAAAGAAGAGTGAATATAAACATAGGAGAAAATGTTTTTGAGGAAGACAAAAATTAAAGAAAACATGATGTAATAAAGTAACAATGATAGATCAATTAACAATATAAAAGGACCAGAAGGAGCACTGAAATCATAAACTAAGATAAAAATAATTGTGCATACTATTAAAACTTCCTGATTTTATATAAAAAGCATGCTTATAAATGGTAACTTGTATTTCAAAATTTTATCATATTGTACTATATACATATCATTTAAATATCAGTATCATTAGCTCTGAAAGTTATTGAACAAATATTTTACAACAGTGTTTTGTTTTAAATAGATATGAAAATATCGAAGTATGTTTAAATCACAAACGTGATAAAGAAAACTACATATTTCAATACGCAATTAAATATATAAGTTTTTTTAAATAAAAGGAATAATAAGAGTGACAATTTGCAAAATGTACTCATGTATATTAAT